AAGATGGGCGTCGGAGAGCCACCAGGGGGGCCACGAGGTAGGGGGGCGCGCCCAGGGAGGGAGGGCGCCCCCCCCCCCCCACCCTCGTGAGCAGGGTGTGGGCCCCTTGGCCTTCATCTTTGGCAATGATTTTTTTTATTTATTTTAAGGTATTCCGTGGAGTTTCAGGACTTTTGGAGTTGCGCAGAATAGGCCTCCAATATTTGCTCCTTTTCCAGCCCAGAATTCCAGCTGTCGGCATTCTCCCTCTTCATGTAACCCTTGTAAAATAAGAGAGAATAGCCATAAGTATTGTGACATAACGTGAAATAACAGCCCATAATGCAATAAATATTATCATAAAAGCATGATGCAAAATGGACGTATCACTGCACCCCCCGCATTATGCATATTGATATAACCTCGACTATTGTCAGTCCAGATTGGGCCAGTATCTTTATCCTGCCCGTCAGGAAGTGTACTTCTCTGGAATCTTCCTCCTGGGGGCTCCGAGGGCGCCAACTTTGGCGTTTCTTCAGCGGAGCGTTATTAAACTCAGGAAGTCCCGTCCGGATTGGGTCCAAAAGGGGAATGTCATCTACATAAAACCACTCCGAGGGCCAGCCTTCAGATGCCTTCTTTGGAGTGCCGGAAAGGTATCCGGTCTGGGCGATGCGCCATATTTCGGCTCCGCCCACTTGATATATAGAATCCCCCTGATTACGAGGGACAAGGCACAATAACTTCTTCCATAACTCGAAGTGAGCCTCGCAGCCCAGGAATAATTCACAGAGGGCAATGTATCATGTGATGTGCAGCACGGAGGCGGGGGTAAAATTGTGCAACTGGAGGCTGTAGAACTCCAGGAGCCCGCGAAGGAATGGGTGGATTGGAAACTCGACGCCTCTTAGAAAATATGGGATGAGGCATACTCGATCCCCCTGAGATGGGTTAGGGGATCTCTCCGCTTGCGCCCCGCCATTGTAGGTGGCTAGTCCGGCTCGGAGGGGGACCATGTACGCCGGTGGAAGAAACCCTTGGGTCTGCAACTCTACTAAACGGTTGTGGGGGACAGAACATTCTTCCCAATCACCTGGCTTAGAGCTAAGGGAGCGAGAAGAGGAGCTGCAGCGACCGGCCATGATGGAATGGTTTTTTCCGGATGGGCTCTGTTGAAAGCTTGCTTAAGGGAAGAAGGTGAGGTTTGGATCTGAGGATCCCCGTCTCTTCAAACAGATGGTTTGCCTGCAGGGTCGGGGTGGCAAATGTAAAAATGCTCTGGCTCCTCGTATTCGCTCGACACGTGGAGATGGTCATTATTGAAGCACAGAAGCCGAGGAATACAACATTGATGGGAAGCCGGACACTATTCGCTACAACGAGTACTCTGGATTTGGGGGAAGAACCCGCCTTGCAATGCCGAAGACAATCTGCGCGCCAGACTCATCTTCATTGAAGCCTGGTTCAGGGGCTACTGAGGGAGTCCTGAATTAGGGGGTATCCGGACAGCCGGACTATATACTTTGGTCGGACTGTTGGACTATGAAGATGCAAGGCTCAAGATTTCGTCCCGTGTCCGGATGGGACTCTCCTTTGCGTGGAAGGCAAGCTTGGCGATTCGGATGTTAGATTTGGGGATTATGAAGTTGCACTCACATACATGATTGTCATGAGCTGAAATTTAGAGGATGTGAGTTATTTGATCATATGAAGCTGCTGTAAAAGTTTCATGCCATTTGAAAATACCAAAATGGTACTTGCTTCACAGAGCTTCATCCTTACCAGAAACTTGGAAACATTGCATAAGGAAAATGGCTAAATGAAATGAGCCAAAACTTGGTGGAAGGAGCGAATATAATAGGAGAATGTCCTGGTAAATTTTCAGCTTAATTGAAGCAATATAACATATAGTTGCTTCACAAACTAAAAATCTGACCAGAAACCAAGATTTGAAGTTGAGCTCGCATGGAAGGGTTACATGAGCTCAAATTTGGTGGAGAGTCATGATTTGGTCATATGAAGGATCCTGCAAAAGTTCAACTCATTTGGATTAACCTAGCTAGTACTTCCTTCACAATGGCTTCCCACAGACAGGAACTTTGAAAAATTGCTCAGGAATATCTACTAGGCAAATTGAGTTTAATTTTGGTAGGAGGTAATGATAAGGACAGGAAAAGGTGTCCAAAAAGTTTGGAGGCAATCAGGCAAAGATAAATAGCACTTGCTTCACACAGTGCCATTTAGGGAAGAATAGGAAAAGAATTATTGGGGGATTATTTTTTAACATGGCAATGAAATTTTTTGCCATAATTGAGGAAGATATGACTCAAACAATTTATGAGAATTATTTAGGAATTTTTAGAATGACAGAAGTATAGGTTGCTTCACAACCTAAGGCAAATAGGATAATTCCTTTAATAGAAAAGGAATATTTCTAATAAAATAATATTGGGATTTGAGCTAGGATGAAAATGACATGATCTAGGGATGGTTTTGGAGATGACAAGCCACTATGAAATCGAGGAAGACATGATCTTCCCAAGTTTCAGGACCACATAGCCACAGAAAAAACAAATTCAAATCAAGAAATCCAAGAAAATCAAAAGAAAAAGAAAAGGGCAAAATCCAGGATGTTACAACCTCCTTCTCCTCCTTAGGGAGCACGCCACCTCTGCTTGGTTTTTTTTGCTGGAAGCGCCAGGAGCAGGAGCTGGAAGCAGCATCCTTTTTTGCTGCAACCGGCCATCGCCGGAGCTGGGAACCAACACTGTGTTTGCTGGAACTGGCCGGAGCGGAAGCTGGAACTAGCATATAATTTTGCTTCAAAGCCCGCGGCCATGGCGCTGGTACAGGTGCGACGGCGTTGTGCGATGCCGCAAGTCACAAGTTGGAGCGGCGCCTAGGCTCACTGGATGTTGCAACTGGCGATCAAGTTTGTTGGAACCGGCGGGGAGCTTTGCTGGAACCTACACGTAAAAATACTATCACCAAGTTCATCCTGCTGGACTAGCGACACTTTGCTACAACTGCAGCCTGTTTTTGCTACCACCGGCGACTTTTTTTGCTACATGCATGCATGACGGTGTTGGTCAGCGGCGACGATGCATTTTATTTTTGCTGCAACCATTTTGAAATTTGCTGAAACCAGCATACAAAATAGCTGGAACGGGCTTTTCTTCCTTCAACGGTAACCATGGTGACCATGGGGTGAGCTGATTTGCTGCAACCGGCAAACCGAAAAGCTAGCACCGTTGAGCTGATTTGCTACGATGGCGAACAACGGTGCGCAAAGCGAGCACCCGTGCAGGGAGCATCAACGGCGAGGACGGCGGCCCCAATGCTGCAACCATTGCAGGGCGGAGGCTGCGAGCAGCCATGGGCGAGCTACATGCTC